AATGCCCGTCACGCGCCCAGACCACCCGCCCTTGCCAGCGACACAGCCATCTCGTCGTTGAGGGACACAACCATCTTGTGGCCGTCTCCCCCGCCGTTTGCCTCGCTTCATTCTCTCTCCCTCGTCGCCATATCCCTCGCCTTGCCATCTCCTTCGCGTCGCAATCTCCCACGTCTCCATTCGCAGTTTTGCCCTTTCACGCGTCGGCAACTCCCTTTTCGCGCGTCGCGACACGCGTCGTCATATTGCGGTTTGAGATCATCAACCAAGTCGCTGGGTTCATTGTTTCCAACAACAGTTGTAAATCGAGGAAAGAAAAGGTGCATTCTCTCTCTCATTCTATCTCCCTTTCTCATCTTTCTCTGTCTCACTCCCCATCTCTCTCTCTCTATTTGACTCTGCCTCTCTCTCTTTATCTCTCTCTCTCTCTCTCTCTCTCTCTCTCTCTCTCTCTCTCTCTCTCTCTCTCTCTATCTCTCTCTCTCTCTTTCTCTCGCCATCTCCATCGACCTGAAAAGTCCTGCCATGCTGGGTTTGCGTAGACCGTCAGAATGCCCACACATGTACGCGATCTGTAATCGGAATTCGCGCGGTGGCGATTACATTGGGTTCAGTCGCCGCGAACGAGCAGTGTCCTGTGATCCAACAGGGATTTCTCTCCATGAGTCCGATGTGTGATAGGGAGTCTATGACGTTCGGGGCCATTTGATCGTGACATTTGATTGGGTCGTGTGATGAAGGCGGAGATTGCCTCTATGTCGCGCTCTCTCTCTCTCTCGCTATCTCTTTATCTCTCTTTCTGTCTTTTATCTCGTTCGTTTCACTGCGCTTGTCTGTGTCGCTCGCACAAAGTTTGCGAACGTAACTCATAAGCGCAGACAAACGAATGAGACAGAACCAACAGCGTCGTGTTCCACCACCATCGTCGTCAGTTTTCTATCAGTGCCTCTATGTCGTTCGTCTTTTCCGTCGGCCTGCTTTCGCGAATCTAGTTCCATTGGCGACCATTCGCCCCGATCAGATGGCACACTCACACGTCCACGTGGCAGGTCCTGAACAAGCGTGGGCTCGCTGATGGATGCGGGGCTCTATGCGGCAACTGAATGTCGTTGAATAGAGCCCCGCACCCATCAGCGTGGCCACTCATGATCACGACTTGACACGTGGACGTGTGTGCCGTCGTGTTCAACTACCATCTTCGTCCCCGTCGTTAGTTTGTCTTCAACGCCTCTATTTCGTTCGTCTTATGCGTTGGCCTGTTTCTTTCGCGAACGTACCTCGGGGTGCGTTTGCTGATCTAGTTCCATTGGCGACCACTCGCCCCGATCAGATGGCACAGTCAAACGTCCATGTGTCAGTTCCTGAACAAGCGTGTGCACGCTGATGGATGCGAGGCTCTATGAGGCAGCAGAAAGGATGCTAGGCTGCAATATAGCCCCGCGCCCATCAGCGTGGCCACGCATGTTCAAGACATGACATGCGGACATGTGAGTGTGCCATCTGATCGGGGCGAGATGAAGGAGTTTCGGGAGCAAGAATGCATGCGTTTCATTGGCGATCACTCGCACCGAT